AAATAATCCACTGTTAAAAGTGGATATATATATCAACGCAAACATGCACCCCTGCTGCTCACAGGGGCTACTAGAATCAGTCTGGGGACAGCTCTTCAGAAAATATGATTTAGGGTATTTTTTAGTGTCTGCTTTGGATGTGCCAAAGTTGTGTTATTTAAAAAAAAAAAGACAGGTTAAGAGAACTAAACATGAAAAATGTTGACAATGTGAAATAAAAAAATCTAAAGCAGAAATATTGGCTTGGAAGACATGATGGACTGGTGTCTCAGAACATACCATTCTTTATTCTTGTTTTGTTTCCTACTGACATTTTTCAAAGAAAAACTCTTACGGTTTTGCTATTTTTAGGTTCATATTTTGGGTTGAAGAGAAGACAGGTATGGAAGCTATTGGGAACTGTGCAACTTGATCTGATCCAACAGGTCACAGGTGATTTAAATGTGAGTTCTCTAGTCATCACTCAGGAAGTTTAAAAAAATAAATTGATTTCTATTTCAAAGAGGCCATAAGAGATCATTTGAGTAAGCTGACAAGGCTGTGTCTAGGTAAGAAAGGTTTAGGGACAAGCTACCTCACGAATTTATGGAAAATTCCATGTAAATTGTCCAGTAACAATAGTAACTTACCATCATTCAGCAAAGCGAGCCTGTGATCAAGTTAATAATTTCTGTTATATCAATCTGTAAAAATATTATGCCACTAAGCTTTAAAGCAAATGATTTACTTTTTAGACCTCAAAAGAGAACAATTTCTTTCCAGGAAAAAATTACTTGCCTGTTGACTGAGTTCTGTATCCCTATAGAGCAAATAGTTTCATAAAGAGGAAGTAGAAGATGGGGAGATAGTATTTTTGAGAATTTCTTCGTGACCAGCTCTGAATACAAGTACTTAACATTTTATTTTTTAATCTTGACGTGGGTTATTTCTTCCTCTTCTTTTGCTGCCTGAGGAGAAGGATATCTGAAGACACCCCGTAATAAAGGAAACAAAAGGCACAAAAAAATTAGGTTTAAAATAAAGGCAGTGTGCCCCAAAGTATTGTATTCTGTTCTGTTTTATTCTCTGTTTATGCCACCTATCTCAGTCAGTAATAAGATATTAGCTCTACTACAGCCCTTCTCTTGACTATGGCCCCAGACCATCACCGCTGCCACAGCAACACTGGTAAATCCATAGTCTTTTAAATGCAGGTGGTGACCCTTCTGTCTTGTCAATTGACATGGAATGAATAAAAATTAAAATGTGAAAGGTGATTAATTGATTCACTTCAATTGATTTGTCAAAGATAATATTTCAGCACCAAACCGGCTAATCTGAGTTCAAACGCTTCAGGATAAAAAAGCAAAACTTGATCCTTGATTTTCTACCACCATCTTTAGGCTGCTGCCGGTACAGGCAGGTGCTCGAGAGAGGCGCAAAGACGCCCGATGAGCATATTTTAGTGCATCCTCTCTTCCTGTACATATAGGGCTCTTACTGCTTAACGGTGCGAGGGATTTTGACCTGTCTCAGCTGCGGAGGAGCTGGCAGAGCTTGTGGTTTGCCTTTGCCCCGGCCATGACTTGGCCTCTCCTTGCAAAGGGCTGAGGGACTCTTGCTGCCCGGCTAGGTTGGATGAGGAAACATTGCCACTTTGTCTTGCAGCCTGCTTTTCGTGTGCACCACGCTGCTTTTTGTCTCTCGAGGGTTTGTCTAGACATAACGCTACCCCTGGATTTTTCAAGGAAAGGCTCGAGCTTTGGGTGAGGACGCTTCACTGTGGACGCCACTTGGACCAAGCGAAACGGTTGGAGCCCACTGATGGAGCATGTGTATTTATTTACGTATGACAAGATAGTTTGAGCTCACCATGTACAACAGCCTGGGGAAGTGGGGGCTGTAACCGAGTTGCTTGCTGGAGCGGGAGGGAGTAGGGGTGCAAGGGTGCAGCACTTGGGAGGCAGGAGGGGAGCTCGCTGCTGGGCTGGCGGCAGCCCCACGCAGCAGCTACTTCGGCACGTGACATGCAGCAACTGCGCGCCCTGTGCCCCTCGCCCCGCCAGCCCCACGTGCTCACCTTAAAAATAATCCACTCTGCGCTCTCCCTTCTGATCTCTGACCGACCGACGTGTTACAGCTGAATGTATTGGCTTGAGGTGTGGCAGCTTGGAAAAATGTGTAAAAGAATAAAAAAAAAAAAAAATCAGGAGAAATCCAATACAATCTTGCGGGCGAGCGAGCTGGCCTGGGTGTTTGTAAGGGCAGAAGCAGCTATTTATCAAGTGCTTTGCTATTTAAAGGTCAGAAAACTATCTTGCTCTCTTAAGAGACTTTACATGGCCATCCATTTCTTTCCAGCTGCTTATGAGTCTCCAAAAAATCTCATCTTTCTCTTCCTTAACAGCTGTTAAAATAAACAGTAGTTACTGCTAATGTGGCCGTCATAGCTTACATGTTACCTATTCATCTCCTTTCAAATGAAAGCCCAGAGAACCTATTTCAACATCTAGACATCTTAATTTGATAATACGGTATCTAGACACAGTTTACAGCAAATTTTAAGGGACAACAGAATCTGGCTCTTCTATTCCTACATCCTAAGTTAAGGGAATTGAATTTGGGTAGCTCCCTCATATCAGGCAGATATGGCACTCACCCCCACAAATCTAGGGAGACTGCTAAATCTGGGGAGATTTACAGTGCAGTTCATAATAACCATCTGATGTTTTCTGTTCCAAATGCTTCAGCCTATCTCCATTTTTATATGATACCCGTAAGAAGATTTTAAGACTGTGAGACAAAATAAAACACAGAGCATGTCTATATAAAGGCATTCAGCAAGAAGCGCTGAAATTTATTCAAATTTTCATAATTACAATAGAGACCTCTGGCTTTGAACTTCTAATTCACAACAGCAGTAAAAAAGTAAATGGTGAAATGGGTTGTATTAAAGTGCAATGATATGGAGAAGACCATTGAAATAACACAAATGAGGCTGCGGTGAGAAATGAAAGGACAGTCTCATCCTAGCAGTAACAGCAATATATAAGTAAATTATGTTACAGATAATTTACAAAATAACTTACATAGATGAAGATAAGCTGAATCTCATGTTGCCATTCCATTGTTAAATATCAGACTAAATATTCCTGGTCAGCACAATATTATATGGGATAATTAAAAAGAGATCAGAGGATTTCTGCATTGGAAAAAGATGCCTGAAGTAAAACCCTGATCTGCCTTTACATTGCAGTATTGCAAGAAACCTAAGTATTTATGAATTGTAAAGTGACACATTCAGCAGCATGAAGACTATAAATACATCTTTTACATTGATACATCATATCTACACACATATACATATCTACAACACATATATATACACACACAAGCACATATATGCACATATATTTGTACATAAATACGTGTGTGTGTATATATGTTTCGGTTTGTTTGACCGTGGTCAGCTGCATTTTGATTGCATCTGGGGTAGGGTTGCTTTTGCAGCTTAGGAGTAAGATCATTCTTTAGAGTATTTGTCCTTTACGTTTCCTAAGCTGCAGCCTCTAAAAATCTAAAATTCTGTCATAAAGATAGACTTCAGGGCCCAGCCATCAGAGGGGTCTGATGATTAACAGCAGTTCCCATTGCCTCTGAAAAATTACGCTCTTAATGTCCTCATTATTTTTAAGTAATATGATACATGAATCCGTTAAAAACCTATTTTCATATAAGTAAAAATATTTGAGAGATGGACTGGAATGAATATAATATTCCATACATGCACACAGTTCTGGAATTTTTGTAACGATGAAGTGCAAAGAACATCTGACAAGGTGAAAATTTCCAACGTCAGCTTACATCACACCTTGAAAAATGGCAAGTTTAGCATTACCCTTCCTTTAAAAAAATTTAACATACGTGTCTGTAGCATAGATCTGACTTTTCTCTAATAAGTATTTTTTTCTCCTGTGCTCCCCTTTTATAGAAAAATTATGTCATCATGTTTTTCCCTTTGCATAAATCTGCAACAAACAGTATTGACTGAAAATAAGACTGGTTTCTATCCCTCATAGGTTTGGCTGAAGGAAGGCTCTTGACCTGTGTGCAGCCACAGTAGCTCCCTCTGCCTGTGACTGCATGCTAAGTGTGAGAGCTGAAGGTAACCATGCAATTACCGTTTATTAAGAAATCATGTAGTGAATGAGAACATTTGTGCTTCATTGTGCACTTGCGTAAGGAAGAAGATACTACTAAATTGCCAAGGCTATGTAAACACAGTGATCTTGGTAAACAATTTGGTTGTGAGGGCAAACAAAATACCTCAGAAAACAGGTACTCCATTGCACACATCATTAAAAGGTTGGAAAGGATAAAATAAGAGTTTCTTTTGACACTGTTGTGGTCAGTGTATTGGTGATGTCTGCATCCCAGTCTCTAGGGAGCAGAAGAATATCCTGAAGACCCAAGAGAAGAGAAAAGGCTGGACCAACCCACCTTCCTGGTTGCTGTAAGAGTTTCATTCACTGCACTGATGGAGGTATGTCCTTGGAGAAAGGGTTTTTTTGGGAGAAGAAATTGTAAACTCAGATTTATTTTCCTCATACCTGTCCTCAAGTGATTGCTGTGTTGTTAGTTTACAATAAGGATTTAGCACTGAACACATTTTGTTTGCTCACATTCAGATCCTGGCTGTTACAAAATGATACAGTTCTGCAGAAACCTGATTGTATATCAATGAGAAAATGTGTTTTATGCTAACAGCTCTGCAACTTCAGACTTCACAGCAGAAGCCCCTGCAAGACCCTATTTCAAATCGTTTTCAATCGTTATTCACAACTTCACATTCCATGCAATTTTCATTGGAATCTTCTGGGAGAACCTGTAAAAATCACCACTGAAAATACTCAAAGCTGGCAACACAGAACTGGTGGTTCTCAGAGTCCAACATCCAGAACTCTGCACAAAATGACAAATTTCAGATTTACCTTCCATGGAGGTGGGGTGTAAATTTAATGTTAGCCCTTAATGTCCGAGAAGCTGGTGCTGCTGGCATTGCAGCTATCACTGCAACTTGATGATGTGCTCAAAGTGCTGGAGGCAGTGCCCGATTCTGGGAAAGGGAAAGGAAAGAAAAAAACCCACAAGAAAATACGATGTGGTCGTTGTTTTTCATGACTTATTTTCATAATAGGAATCTACAGCGGCAATCAACTCATAATAAATAGCCTACCAGAGCTGCTTAAAGATTGAGCTGATTTTGAATTGCCTATGAGCATCAGCAGATTGTTTCCTGGGATCCAACCTTCTCTACCAGTGCTCAGGTTCTTTACACACCTAAAATAATATAAAAATAAAAAGTCAAATTGCTTTATTCCATGCTTTTGAAAGTTCTACCCTAAACATCTGCCTTCCAAACACAGTTCTGCATACCAAAGTCCATCCTCCCCTTCACGAATCAGTTGAACTAGATCTCCACTTTTCACTGTAAATTCTTCAGAAACTCCTTTCTCATAATCAGTCACAACTGTATATTTACCAGGAGTCTAAATGAACACAGAGGAAAAACATAAACAAATTACTTCTATTGAATAATTTAAGGTATGCTGCAGCTTTTATTATGAAAATTTTCATACTTTTCCCTCCTTTCTTATGCACATATATGCTGAATACAGTGTAAATATGCATACTGAGAGGCAGTAAAACTTTGCTGTTCAGTTACATGCAAATTCAGTACATGAATTCTCACACCCTGAAAAACATTCAGTGAAATGTTTCCATTACAACAATTAATTCAACTATCTACCAAAAAATACGAAGAAAAAAAACCAAACCCAAAACCAAGCTGGCAAACTAGTGACATGATGTATGTGTGGAAGTCTGTTGACATGGTAGCAGAGCATGTCATTGCTCGACTGCTGTACTACGGCATAAGCAGTCACGGTCTCACTAGCCTGTGGGTACACAAAGGCACAGACAGACCTTCCCAAGGTACGAACACAAGGCTGATTTAAGAGAAGGGGATATTTTCCATTCCCCAAGGAATTTTGCCCAGCTGAGGATTTCAAGGCAGACACTTTCCTTCCTGCAAGCTTCAACAGCGTTCCTATATACTGCCACACACCACAGATCAGTAGCATTTGCTTAGCTCAACAGGAAAGCATTTCTGGTTACCAGCTTCATCTCGCCGCCTCCTCCTCCTCCTCCTTCTTCCTCTGCATCCGACGAATTCAGCGGATCTTCAGCACTAGACCAGCCATCATTTTCTTCAGATGCGTCAAGAGAATGAGATGTTTTAGCCCAACCTTGGGGAACAAACAGCTGCCGGTTAACTTTGCAGCAGTGAG